AATGTTGGTGATATATAGGCCTAGCATGACAAAAATATAATTGCAATAATGATAATAAAACCCTAAAATATTTGCTCTGCATTATTATTTCTGATACTGATTCTAGCAAATTTGATAAGACAAGTTACAGGGAGTTATGGCTACAGGGAGTACTGTGAAGTGTAATGTAACTTATGGTTTGATCAACTGTTGTCAAAACTTTTGTCTAACGTTTTTCATAAATAGGAGAAAAAGTGGCCTGCTAGATATTCATTAAGTTATGCACATGGTAAGACTTAATAGCCTTAAAGGTTGTAGTTGTCTCACAGTGCATGCTGTTGAGATATTAATTGTTACATTGAAGGCACACCTAACACAGTCATGTTCTGATGAAGACCATGAATGGTATCATTTCCATGGGGAATGTATATCCTTGTCCTTCTGAAATGAAGACAAGTATTTCTATAACCTCCTCCTTTGTGGGATGTGTGCACACCCCCCCCCCCCCACCTCCCCAAGTGTGTTGAAAACACCTAGCTCATGTCTCTATTGGCACAACTACTGTAACATTGGTATCTCACCTTTCAGTCTCTCCCCTACAGTAAAAGAAAAGTTTTAAAAAATTACATGTCTGTATAAGACCAAGATTCAACATTTTAGCCTCAAAACAACATATGATAAAGCTACCAGCATTTACCACATTGGCCATGGGTGTACACTGTATAATGAACCTATCACTTGCCATGTGTCATTATAACTGATGTTTGTCATTCCCTAGGCAGAACATGTCATGTGTAATTGAAATCATGTACCATGGTGCTCGTTGTCACCAAGTTTCATTGTGATAATATACAGAGAAGTGTCATGTTAGCACCTGGGGCTGGGTCTATTAAAGAACTAGAAGACTGAAGAGTTGTCTTAACTTTTTGGAACAAATTGTTAGGTACTGAGGACAGCTGATAGAGCTGAATTCTGTAGCTGACTCCAGCTATATGAGGATCTGCTTCACAAAAAAAGTTAAAAGTGAATGTGGGTTTGATCATGAAGATCACATTTTCGGTCAGCTGTGACACAAGATAAATCTGTAGTAACTAATAGCTGAGTCCAATTCAAATGAAATATTGCACCTGTTTTACAAAAATGAAATATATATTCTCTGTTTTAGAGCATTTGTTACTTTTTATCTATTTAAAAGGCCATTGACAGATTTATCAGTCTAAAATCAAGTATAGACAATTAGGTCTTCAAGTGATGACCAACTCTCAGGCTAAAGAATTTATTTATTTATTTATTTATTAGTTCATACTTTTTAAGAATACCTTTGCAAGTTCTGTTCCAATACTTTAAAAAAATTACACTCTGATGTCACCTGAAAGTGGAGGAGTTGTTTTAAACCAACGCATCATTGCACGCTACATGTACTCATGTACTACCTGAGTTAAGACCAATATCACGGCATTTGAAATAAATGAAGATGTATGTTATTGCTTTTACATTGCATATGATACCATCTTGATTTTATTCTGATGATATCTTGAATCTGGAATTCAGACTGACTTGAAGGAATGATAAGTATATATTATCAAATATTTTAGTGTCATTGGACAGACGTAAGTACTGGGATTAATGATAGTTTTGGCAAGTTTAATGTTATATCCACTGAACTGAAAACGATACACTTATTTTATTCTTTTTTAAATGCTTGAATTTACCCCCGTCTTATTTTAAGAAGCTAGAATTTTTCGTCCTTGTAGAAAAGATGGTTTAGACTTTTGAATTTTGGGCAAAATGTTCAAAACAAGAGGTGGGAGTTAAAATGGTTCAGGAAGGTTGAGAATTTAGCTATTTGTGAATAGCACAGCTACTGTTGAAGAGTATCAGTAATGGAACTTTATTGGTATGGTGGTTATTTATTATTATTTAAAAGATTATTTATTTTTAATTTCCTTATAATTTTGTGAACATATCTGGTACATTTTTTTTTTTTTTGCTCAAAAGTCAGACTTAAATCAAATTATTTCATTCTGAAGTTATACCTGAGGTAACCCAAGCATCACATTGAAAAACAAACAAAAAAAGAAAAAAAAAAGGACTGACATTTTTGTGGGTTTTACCAATGCCACATACACATTGAATGCTAATGCCCATTTTGCCCTCTAGTACAGACATGGAAGTATAAGTGATGAGCCAGACATTAGTATAATATGACTGAGCACTGGCCCACTTTGTATTCAGGTGTAGTAACTACAGCATAATGACTCTGGTGATGGTCCTGTGGCACACCATAGTTTACAAGGTGGTGACCATCTCCTGTCTTATTATACAGCATATGGAAGTGACCATGACTTGACCATTCAAATTACATTTAATACCTGGCTTCTTCTTGTGTTTTATGGTATACTGACTGTGTAACTCATGTAGGGGAGTCGGACAGTCTCATATAGTTGATTGGTAACATGGATATGGCACACAGGTGTGCTGTAGTCATAGTTTCATGTATGCTTGCCTGTGGTTATGGTGCACCGTGCATAAAAAGCAAATAGGAAATGATCGCTGAGGATACTTTCTCTCATTTTCCATTATACAAATACAAGAAGATTACTTTATACTGCCTCTATTTTCCATATCTGAAAAGCTTTAATTTAAAAAATTTGATTTGTAATATTTCTTTTTTCTACTTCTTTTTTTAAAGAAATTGTGAAATAATTTTATTTTGTACGTTTCAACACATTTTGTATGTTTTAACACGGATTTGTCCCTACTAGTGCTCTTTGTGCCACCGGAGAGTGTGCATTCTTATAGATTATTATTATTCACACTTGACCTTTACTACCAGTACGGTGTAAAAATGTACATGTATTTGACAATGAAGTTTTTACAGTTATGTCATTGTCTCCAGAGATTCGCCAATATTGATGTCACGAAGGTCCTTTTAAATAACATTTCTCAACAATTGTCACATACCAAATATATTGATTTTATAAATAGAGAAAGTATATTTAATCATAGATTATATGCCTATTGTCTTTTTTTCTTTTCATTTCACAGATTAAAGTATTATTATGCAGAAAAATGCCTTCTGTTTATTTGTTTTGTTATTTATAAATGTCAGATGGCATTGTTCCTTTGCATATAGTAGCTTAATCATTCAGGCCTTTAAGTTATGATAAATAAAGTGGTGTATGTTTCTTTTGATCTTTGGATTTTCTTGTACCTGTACATTGATGACTTGGGGAGAGGCAGTGGGAAGTCATTTACAACTGTTAACTTAGCCTAAAGGAGATAAATTTCAGACACCATAAAAAAAGAATGATATAGAAGCTGGTAACCTATTTTCTAGCTGTATTGAATTGGGTCTACACAGCTTTGTTAACATTAGAGCTTTTTTATTTATTCATTTACTTTTTGTTAAGCAGGTTTGGAGGAAAAATGTTGCTATTCAATAAGCACAAATTGTGCAAATATAAATATTGATTAAGTTTTCTCATCATCTGGAAATTTCCTGTCAATTTCTTTTTGATCCCATAAAAAATAGTAATGATAAAAGGATTCTTGCTCTGAATCTAAATTTAGTGGGCATGTAGAGTTGCTCTGTTCACTGTGGGTAGAACTGAAGACAAGAGTATAAAGCAATAACTCTCTTCACTGCTGCTTAAAAGAGTGAACTAATCCACGGTAACACGATCCTAGCGTTTAACCCTCACACAATGCCCCAATGTTGGCATGAATGAGGTGGGGGATAAAAGGTGTGCTTAGGAGGCTAATTTGGATTTGGTTGCTCAGATAACAAGCTTTCTGGGCTCTTGTGTACCCTCTTTTCACAAGGGTCAGGAAGGCAATGGTATGCACCCATTGGGGGTGGAATGGGGTGTAATGACTTAAAGAGTTATAAGGTTTCAACCATGCAATGAAATAACCACTGGATGCAAAAGTTTTTTTGGTGCTATGCTGTCTAAGTTAAAGTTAATTCTATCAAAAGGGAAAATTTTAAAGATTAAACTGATGGTCTTGTATAAATTATTTTAAAATGCTTAGAAACATATACTTGTAAGTTATACTGTATGCGCAGCTGTTAACACTCATAAAATTTTAAATAAGTTATTTTTTTAATTGTGGACACTCGTAGAGGTAAAGGAAACATAAGAGACAAACACTGATTAACAGTTGCTCCGGACAGTCAGGTAATGATTGCCCATCACTGAAATAAACAAGACAATAGATATCACATGGGGAGCAATTCATCAGGGGTGATTCAAATAATCCAAGCTTACAACCACTGATACCACCCTCTCCTCTCTAAACTTTATCAATATTTTTCAGTTGGCTCCTTTTTTTTTTTTCAACAGAGAAAAACAAAATTTCATTTTCACAAATTAAAGCAGTTTTTTTTTTTAAGGTAAAGTATTCATACTGCAATAAATCAATTTGTTTTAATCTTGTCTAGCACTTTCACCTTTTTACTCAGTAGTTTACATAGACATTTACAACAAATGATACCAAGAATCAATACAGTAATAACAATGCACAGAAGAAAGATAAAAACATCCACAAGATAGTACTGATACCACGGCATGCCTGCTCCAGGAGAACGCAGGTACGAGCCGCCATGTTTCAGGACATGCTCAATCCATGAGACAGTGAGTTGTTGTGAAGTCACCGGCTGATCACGATAAATGGCAGATAACTTTTTCGCTGCTGTCATATAGGTTGGGTTCTCAATCATGTCTTTGATATTGTTCAGAAGTTCTTCAGAAGTGAAATCTGCAATGTTCATGATTTTTGCCATTCCCTTGTTATGAGCTCTGTTGCCATTGTATACTTGGTCATAGAAAAAAGGGAACCCAAGTATTGGAATGCCATGATAAAGAGCGTCATATGATCCTCCATTGCCACAGTGGCTTATAAACAGCTTTGTATTGGGATGAGCCAAGAGATCATTCTGTGGAAGCCATTTTAAAAGTTTTACATTTGAAGGAACCTGGTCTGGTTTGGTGCCAGTAAATCTCCAGATGACTCCATACATGACTTTAGAAAAAGCTTCCAGCATCTTCTTAGTGACATGGGTAGGAAGGTAGGTTGTCCATGATCCAAAGGAGACAACAATCACACCTTCTTCATGACTATCCATGAAAGACTGCAGTTCTCTGGTCAGAGGTTTTCCAGGTCTGGTGTTAAGTCCCCCAGCAAGAATGACATTAGGCAAAGTCAACTGAGGGTAGTCCAAGACAGCGCTCTTTTCTGTTACTACAAATAATTCAGACAGCAAAATCAAGTCACCTGGAGTTTTTCTTGCTTTACCTGGTAAATATTCAGTAAAGTATCTGTCAGGAATTCTTGGTGTACTCCATATCCAGTCAACCAACTCACATATTAAAAGATTTAATGTTCGCTGTAAGAATGACATGTCATCTGAAAATGGGCTGAGTGGATGTGGAATAACTGAAGGTAGACGTGGCACCCCAGATATTGGTAAAGGAGCAAAGGATAAAGTGATATGGCGAAGGTTATGTTTGTAAGGAAGCAGGTATGCTGTTGGGAATAATGAAAAGCAGTTGGACAGAATTACCATGTCAATTCCCAGATCTTCTATTCTTTGGTGGAATTTTCTGTCCTTCAACATATCCTCAGTATACTCAGTAAGTATCATTTTTCTTAACATGAATTCTGATGCTAATCGTTTGCGCGGGATAATTTTTTCAATTGGATCCTCAAAAAAGGCCATGAATGCAGTTTTCTGTATGTCTGGGTTTTCAAATGCCAAGACACCTTCAGACCTAGTTTTGAAAGTCAAAAGCTGTACTTTGCTATCCACCATGTCCTCTGGAAGTTCTGCAGCAGCATGCTCTCCAATAACAAGGTAAACATCATGTCCCCTGTCAGCTAGACCCAAGAGAAGGTTTTGAGTTTCTATCACCTGTCCCTTTAGTGGAAAAATTATTCCCAAAAATTTTGCACTTTCAGCATATTGGTAGTAGTAAAAAAAGCACAGCAATGGTATGATATGTTTGGTCCACTTCATGTCTTCCCTCTCAATGAAGAGCAGATCTAGTTGCTCCAGTATGACAGTCACTGTGATATCAAACCGAAGCTGTAGAAGTTTAAAAAGCTATTCACTGACCAGCATTTTAACCTGCCAGAGATACTGGTACATGTACTGGTACATGTACTTGTGTAAACAACACAGTCTGTAACTCATAGTAATGTCTTTTACTGATGTTAACTACTGTAGATCACACAAATTTGTGACTTGCTTACATCCTTTGTGTTGATGCATTGGCATTTTTATGGCAAATGAGTAACCACACAATTTTTGTGGTACGCGTGTTGAATAAATACACTGTATATGTCTTTTAATGTTAGAACTATTGGGTATACATGCCCCCCCTACCCCCTCTCACGTGAGATTGCCAGTGCTTTCCATTACTCAGGCCTACCCAACTACCAGACTCGGCTCGGCACCGAATGATCCTGAATTCACTGGTATATTGGACCACACTACCTGTTTTCAAGGTGTGCGTCAGTACGCGCTTCGAAGTATCAGTCACAACACCACTCTTGCCTTATATACGTGATAGCGATGATTCTCAGCTGGGTTGGATAGTAGTGCATCTCATCTCAAAATTTGTTCGGGGGAATGATACTGTGAAATGCATACTGACACACACCTTTCTTTTAATGCAATGCACTCTAAGAAAAGAAGTTAATTCTATCAAATTTTTTACGATTAAACTGTTGGTCTTGTGTATTTTAAATTGCTTACCAATGTATATCTGCAGTACTTGTAAGTTATACTGCCCAACTATTAATGCTCATTAATTTAAAACAAGTTATCTCCCCCCCCCCCCAGGTTTTTTTTTTTTAATTGTCCAGACATGTAGAGGTAAAGGAAACGTAAGAGACAAACACTGATTACCAGTTTACTATCGATGATCAGGTAATGATTGTCCATTAGTGAAACAATCAAGACAATAGATATCACAGGGTGAGAAATTCATCAGAGGTTATAATTTGAATAATCTAAGCTTACAACCGATGATACCAACCTCTTCTCTCTAGACTTTATGAATGTTTTTCAACTACCTCTTTTTTTAAAAAAAAAGAAATTTCACAGAGAAAAACACAATTTCATTTTCATCACTAGTTAGCATTTGTTAACACAAATTAAAGCACTTTTATTCAGGTAAAGTATTCATACTACAATGAATCAATTTGTTTTAATCTTGTCTGGCACTTTCACCTTTTTACACAGTAGTTTACAGAGACATTTACAACAAATGATACCAAGAATCAATAAAGTAATTACAATGCACAGAAGAAAGATAACAACATCCACAAGGTAGTACTGATACCACGGCATGCCTGCTCCAGGAGAACGCAGGTACGAGCCGCCATGTTTCAGGACATGCTCAATCCATGAGGCGGCCAGTTGTTGTGAAGTCACCGGCTGATCACGATAGATGGCAGATAACTTTTTCGCTGCAGTCATATATGTCAGGTTCTCAATCATGTCCTTGATATTGTTCAGAAGTTCTTCAGAAGTGAAATCTGCAATGTTCATGATTTTTGCCATTCCCTTGTTACGAGCTCTGTTGCCATTGTATACCTGGTCAAAGAAATGAGGGAACCCAAGTATTGGAATGCCATGATAAAGAGCTTCATATGACCCTCCATTGCCACAGTGGCTTATAAACAGCTTTGTACTGGGATGGGCCAAGAGATCATTCTGTGGAAGCCATGGTAAAAGTTTTACATTTGAAGGAACCTGCTTTAGTTTGGAACCAGTAAATCTCCAAATGACCCCATGTGTGACTTTAGAAAAAGCTTCCAGCATCTTGTTAGTGACATGGTTAGGAAGGTAGGTTGTCAGTGATCCAAAGGAGACAACAATCACGCCTTCCTTGTACTTATCCATGAAAGACTGCAGTTCTCTGGTCAGAGGTTTTCCAGGTCTGGTGTTAAGTCCCCCAGCAAGAATGACATTAGGCAAAGTCAACTGAGGATAGTCCAAGACAGCGCTCTTTCCTGTTACTACAAATAATTCAGACAGCAACATCAAGTCATCTGGAGTTTTTTTTGCTTTACCTGGTAGATATTCCATAAAGTATCTGTCAGGAATTCTTGGAGGGCTCCATATCCAGTCATCCAGCTTATATATTAAAAGATTTACTGTTCGTTGTAAGAATGACATGTCATCTGAAAATGAGCTGAGTGGATGTGGCATCACTGAAGGTAGAAGTGGCATCCCAGATATTGATAAAGGAGTAAAAGATAAAGTGATATGGCGAAGGTTATGTTTGTAAGGAAGCAGGTATGCCGTGGGGAATAATGCAAAGCAGTTGGACAGAATTACCATGTCAATTCCCAGATCTTCTATTCTTTGGTTGAATTTTCTGTCCTTCAACATATCTTCAGTATACTCAGTAATTAACATTTTCCTTAACATGAATTCATATGCTAATCGTTTGCGCGGGATAATTTTTTCAATTGGATCCTCAAAAAAGGCCATGAATCCAGTTTTCTGTATGTCTGGGTTTTCAAATGCCATGACATCTGCAGACCTAGTTTTGAAAGTCAAAAGCTGTACCTTGCTGTCCACCATGTCCTCTGGAAGTTCTGCAGCAGCATGCTCTCCAATAACAAGGTAAACATCATGTCCCTTGTTAGCTAGACCCAAGAGAAGTGTTTGAGTCTCTATCACCTGTCCCTTTAGTGGAAAAATTATTCCCAAAAATTTTGCACTTTCGGTATATTGGTAGTAGTAAAGAAAGCACAGCAATGGTATGATATGTTTGGTCCACATCATCTCTTCCCTCTCAATGAAGAACAGATCTAGTTGCTCAAGTATGACTGTGATATCAAACTGGAGGTGTAGGAGTTAAAAATGCTATTCACTGACTAGAGATACTGGTACATGTACATGTACAGCTGGTGTAAACAACTCAGTCTGTAACCCATAGTAATGTCCCTTATTGATGTTAACCTCTGTAGATCACACAAATTTGTGACTTGTTCACATCCTTTGTGTTGATGCGTTGGCATTTTAATGGCAAATGAGTGACCACACAATTTTTGTGCTACATGTGTTGAATAAATACACTGTATATGTTTTTCTGTTACAACTATTGAGTATATGTTCTACTGCCCCCCCCCCCCTCCCATGAGTTTGCCAGTGCTTTTCCATTACTCCAGAAACAAAATATAACTTCTTTCTTCATACCCTATTTTATGGGAAGGAGAGATCATCATATCATGCTTGAAGCAAAACAACAACATTATACATATTCAAGTGNCTGTTCCCCCCCCCCCCCCCCCCCCATGAGATTGCCAGTGCTTTTCCATTACTCCAGAAACAAAATAACTTCTTTCTTCATACCCTATTTTATGGGAAGGAGAGATCATCATATCATGCTTGAAGCAAAACAACAACATTATACATATTCAAGTGCCAAAAAAGGTGACCAGCACTACTGTGTCTTTGTTGAGAAAGTTTTAAATATTAGCATTTAAAGGGTGAGGCACCTTTAAACAATACTTAGCAACCCAAAACTCAAGCACTACAACAGGTATCACATGTGCAAATATTTGTCATAATGTAAAATTAATGCAGCTTTCCATGAATTTCGGGAAACATGACTGAAAAACTTTTTTTGCCTGAAATTTAGAAAAAATCCTCCATTATTGAAATTAAAAATAATAATGATGGGGTCATGCCCATCTTTAAACTTGATTAGCATTTTAGGACATTGAATAATACCTGTGAGTTTGAAGCAAAATGTTTACATGTTGCTTCAATCTGAGTTATTGTGTTAACAAGATTTGTGCACAGCTCTGGTCACGTGGACAGACTTGGATGATAAAATAAACACTTCTGATTTGGTGAGATAGGTATTAACAAATGCTCATTCATTATTCTCTCTACATCAGCTTGTTTGGGAAATTTAAAAAAATGCCAGATAATGTGTTTTTCAAATTGAATTGCATTATAGTTTGAGTTAAACATTCAAAGATTGCGATGTTAAGTAATTTAAAATCTGCTCTGAAGTTGTGGAAAGGTAGACAAGCATCATTCTCCTCTGCCTCTCCCCAATAAACCTGCCTGGTCACCGTGATTCCTATGCCAGATATACATCTAGCATTGTAGCAGGTAGGGAGAGATATTAAGCTGATCCCCGCCAGCCACTGGGGGAAAGGAATGTTGTATGGGGACAGAGCAGCAAGCCCAATGACTGTAGTGCATTCACTGTGGATTTACTACTGAAAGGTTAGGAGATCTCCATCTAACAGGTGAGTGAAGTTTGATGATTGTTATGCTAACTCTCAAGGTTAATATTATTTTTCCCCACTCTGTTATATATTGGCTTTGTAAAAACAAATCGCTGCTTGGTCGTAAAACTGTTTTACTGCCCAGGGGCACTATTCTGCACATATACTGCAAAATACGCACTGCATCAGCTTATGCTTACAAAATCAACTTATGAAGCTAGAGAAGCAATTATGGCATGTAGAGTCCATGCAAATTGCTCAATGAAATTATCTCTTTGTGGTGGCATATTTTGAAATATTTCAGAACTTTGGATTCTTTCTTGTTCTGCCAGAGTGGTGTCGAGTGATACAGTACCTGTCATTGAACTACACCCAACTGTTATAATTTTTGTTTAAAAAACCTAAAATTACAGGCGATGCTTCAAATAAACTAAACAAATGATATGCTACATACAAAAACAAGAGTGTCATACTAACTCAAAACAATTTGAAATATTTTTTAGTATGGGACACAAACAATGAACTCTTTGCCAATGTATTAAAAGTTGTCCAGGGTCACTTTCATAAAAGAAAAGGTGAACATACATTAGAGCTGAACGCCCATAAAAACTGTACTCTAAGCACTACACAAGGCAGCAAATATATACCCGATTTGTGTAGGGCCCCAAAGGTAACAAGTTCAGAATTAAAGAAAGAAAGCTAAAAACAACAACATAAAAGATGGATTTCCATGTATAAGGCAGTATACAAGAAGTTACAGAACAGAAATGTTGCATGAAAACAGGCTTTTTAATTTGTTCTGCATATACCTAAGACTAGCATGCATGTAAATATCCAATGTAATTATGTCTTGACCCAGGTTCATCTTCTTAACGTAAACATTAGCACAGGTGTTGTCATTTGACAGGTGAGCTGAGAAGGTGGGTCTGTCCTTAAGTCCTACTAAACCTGTGAATCAATTGTTTTTAAGTAGGATTGTAATGCGAGACATGTACAGTTGTTTGTGACAAAATAGAAAATGTACATACGTACCTTGCTTGGGACTGGTTTTTTGACAACAGGCCAGTATTGTTAGATGAAAATAATGGTCTTGTCGAAAACCAGTTTTAAATGCCAAATATTTGACATTATTGTATTCCTCTGTACATGGTCAACTTTGGCATTCTGCTTCTGTAATTTTAACTTAAATATATATGCTACCTTTTTGCATTAAAAAAAAAGAAATATTTATGAATGCGATCAGGGCTTTAAAAGTAAATTCAATAGTCCTATATAATGTTATACCTGAGGTAGGGTAGACTGAAGAGGGTAGGGTGTTTGCTGGGATGCCTATTCATAAAAGTGATGCACACTGTCTGTTTCACATCTCACACAATCATGTGCGTGACTTATTTTAAATTTTTCTTCCATTCTGTTAATTAACATGGGGTGTTTTGCTTACCCACCAAAACCAAGAACTGAAATCTCAACACACGTAGATTAAGGACAAATCTTTATTGGAATTATTGGCATTAATTGGTAGCCAAAACATTTGCTTACAAATCCTGATATCTATTTAAGGGAAATATTCTGTCACAGTGCAGTAATTTTAACTGATACCATGAGTACTTGACATGTTCTGGGTGAGAAAGTTTAAAAGAATCATTGACTGTGATCACAGAAAGTCCCTACATTTTATCTAGCCAGCTCATCTTCATATTGTGGTGTCTTCTAAGACATTCCAGTCAACACACAAAAGGACCACCTGTTAGCTAGAATCTATGTCTTATGTGTCTTAATCTTCATTCTTGTACACGATTTTGAAGAATGTGATGCGAGAAGAATTATTTCCGTAACCACAGGCAAAGGTCTCTGATCTTAGCTAGGAGAAATTGATGGTGTGATGTTTGAATAGATTAGCAGTTTGTAAACTGGTAATTTTACATGTCACTGGAATATTTTGCTCTGTGCCAAAAGGTATGTTGTGCAGAATATTATTTCTTTAATCATTAAATCCATTAAAATCAAACTTGTACATTTTGTTATAAGTTGAATTGAAATATTGCAGTTTTTTGGATTTGTTCTGGAAAAAATTTCTTCATGAGTAAGTGATGAAAATTTACCTATAAACTATGAAATAAAAAAAAGTTTGTGCACAACTTCAGCCATAACAATAGATATATATATACATATATTGAGACCTATATACTAAGATTATAGTGTAAGAAAGGGAGATACTTAATACCCTCTACCAGGGCGACTGATAGATTTTTACAGATATTCACAGATATGTCTCTAGCTAGATAGATGGTCATTTTGGACTTCAGCCATTCAAGGTCTAATTTCTGCAGACACATGCTTCATTTGTTCCTTAAATCAAAAAAATAATTTTTGGGGGCTATTTTTGAATGTATACTTAGCATTATGATGTGCATTACAGTGATCCAGGGTGACTTGCAAACAAGGATTCTCAGCTTTTAATAGTGATATTGCATTTATGTAACCGGCAAATTTATGTTAAACAAAAATGTCTAGACGTGATATGTAACCCGAATTATGAATAAGTTACATCTGAATGTCCACCCCAAGTGTGCTACTGCATGTACAGTGTTCAAGTTACAGAATATATACGTATATATTGTATGTTTTTTAAAGCTATTCACATGTGGTACACAACATTAAATAAAGTTTATTTTTCTTTTAAAATATATAACATTCAAAGTATTAGTTTATTTTGTATAAAAAATTATTTGTCATATATCATGTAAAGTTTTGCTCTCCTGTATAGGATATTATGTGGCATCTTGCTGTATATATATATATACATTGTACATGTACATAGAGGGATGGGATAAGAATTGCCATTTACATACATTTTATTTCCTCAGTGACATGTCTTTGTAGATTTAGGCAATGTCACATAATGAATACACAGTAATGGATAGGTGGTTAAATGAACTAATGGCATGTTATGAGGAATACTCCCTACTGTGTGTAACATGAACATACTAGTAAGCTTGTGTCCCCTCCAGTAGGGCAATATGGTGGATCCTTAAAATGTCCCCTTCCTACCCCTCGTATCATCCCACAACAACCCCCACCCCCACCCACCCCCAAAAAATTAAACCAAAAAAATGAGATAAACCTGAAAGTATTCCATTTCTGTAAGCTATATTAATTGTTACACAATGTTCTTTTTTTTTTGTGATTGTACAAAAAATCTTTGTCTCCCTTCCCTTTCCTAAACAACATGGATCCACCAGTTTAAGGCACAATGGATAGTAACTTACTGATTTAATTCTCCATTTAGTCAAAGCGAGTTCTAGCTGTTTTATGTATTTATGGCTCAGCATGGTTTGATTTAGTTCAACTTTTCAACTGTCTCACAACATAATTTTGAAGAGAAGTGTATGCAGGTTATAATGTGCAAATACTGCAACTGATGCAGGTATATTAAAACAGGGTGGTTAAAAAAATGCAGATGTTTTCACTAATGTAATCTGGCTAACTTTTTATGCATTATTTTGCCAACATGATATATTGATGTATTACTCATAAATTTGCTTTTTACAGAGGACTTCATATTGTTTTGAGCCATGGCCGAGGAGGACACAGATGATATAGACTTCCTGCACCAGCTGATAGTCCCTGAACCAGTCCAGCTACCGTCTTCCCCTGTCAGTACGCCACTGCCACAGCCTGTACTCAGGGAGTGTGTAGACATACTACCAGGGGGTGTGCAGCAAGAAGAGCTGGTGTCTGAGTATGAGGGGTATAGTGATGGTTTACCAGAATCTTATGCTGATTTTTGGGAGGGGGATTCTAAGGATGGTAAGTCGGCGAGGTGTTATAAAGTTCCCTATGTTGATACCATGCTACATATAAGAATGAAAAAGCCTAGCTTTGAGTTTGAATGAATAATTATGTTTCCTAACTTAAATTTCTGTGACAAGATTTTAATATTTTTTGTTTCTTAAATTTTGCTACATCGACCATTTTGCAGTTGTCTTTAATCAGACAGTTTTTCATACATTCACTACTTGCATAAGCCATTCTAACTTAGTCTTCTAAAAAGTAATCACTCTCTCCTATTTTCCAGTGCCCCCTTACATCCCTTTCTCTTCGATTGCAATCCCCACACAGCCTCCCATGGTGTATGTCCCAGGGCAGAGGGTGACAGTAATCATCACCAACTCTGAACACATTCCCAGGGGAAATATCCTCAGCCCTTACCTGTGAGTATTGTTACCTGTGAGTACTGTTATCTATGAGTACTGTTACCTGTGAGCACTGTTACCTGTGAGTGCTGTTACCTGTGAGTGTGTGGTCCTGTTTCCACTTAATTTGGGTTGACCAAACTTAGTATGACCCACTAAGTGTAAGTGACCACATGTACGTATTCCCTCATCAGCCCTTACCTGTGAGTACCATCACCTGTTAGTCAGAGTTTATGGTCTTGTTTCCACTAGATTTGGGTTAGTCTATCTTGGGAAAATCCATCTTAGTCTGATTACAATGTATCAACCCTGAACACATTTCCAGAAAGAACATTCACAACCCTTACACAATGAGTGCAGTAACAGGTGAGGTATGGATCGATATGGTCAGAGGCCTATCTAGGATACCAATTTATGGCAGGTGGGGTGCAGTCCCATGGGGGGGGGGCACCTACAGTTATCTTTAATATATGGTTAATGAAAAGATTACTCACCTTAACTTGTATTTTCAGGCTAATATTATATGATTAAGTTACAATTGTATTTCTCTTACTGAAGGTACACCCTAAAGGTCACACATGCCAATCATGAATGGGAGATAAAAAGAAGATACCAGGACTTTCAGAAACTTCACAGCAGGTTGCAGCTCTTCAAAGCTAGGCTCAAACTGCCCAAGGCAAATAATGGGTAACAAATGCAATTTCAAATCCAACATTGTTTTTATCTTAAAGCCCAAATTAAACTTGGTCTACTTTGAGTCATAATTAATCAGTGCACGATGGTTTCCTTAAAGAAAATATCAAAATATCTGTTGTTTAAGAACAATGGGTGTTTTCTTCTTTTTGAAGTAGACCAAAATTCTCTGTCTCATTATGAACACCAACTTGCATAACTATGCAAGGTCTTTAAATTTATGAAACTTCAGCAAGCTCTATAAACCACATCAAAAATTCATGTTGATAACTGTTAGTTTTGGTTATTTTAAGAATCACACCTTAAACCATCAGTGATAATTTTCCATGTTATTTACTCCAGGAATACAGGGCGTGGCCCCACTGTTGTCCCAGAACTCCCAAGTTTCCCCCACAAACCTGATGCCTTCATGAACAGTGAGCAAAGCAAGGCCAGAATGGTAATAAAATCTGTGTCCTAAAATTTTCTGATTGGGGGTTATTCGGACTTTAAGACCTCAGAAAACTACTACTAGTACTAGACTAACAAGCCCAATGATGTTATCTGTACATAACCTAAAATTTATCTAAGAAAACCACCCAAACCCACACCAATCCAGTTAGACTAGCTGGTATCCATGGAAAAATGTAATTTGGTTTTAATCTACTATTCAGTTGCTTTGGGCATCTCAGACTGGCAGTCTTCAAGCAGTGGGGAATATATGTATCACATAGATGTGAAGTGAAACGTAATTTATATATTTTTGGAAATTTTTCATCAATTTTTATGCACTTTGCATATATTTTGGCATGCTGTATGGGAAGTAATACTGACACTTTAATTACTGTTTCAGATATTATGCAATATTTATATGTATATATATTTAGTTTGTTGACTGTAACTGTACTTATCCCAGTGTTCTTTTCTCTGTAGGAAGAATTAGAAAATTATCTATTTAATATCCTGAAACATTCTGCATATAGGAACCATAAGGCTTTGGTGAGTTTTATCCTCTTTTTTGTTTATTGTCTATTTAGAAGATTTATACTAAATTCTGTGCCATTTCAGTCGATACCATGATTACAATACGCATTCTATACAATTCCTGTCAATTTATGAAAAAATTGCATAAAAAAAATTCATAATGTATTTTCTCTATACATGTAAGTTAAGTAAGATTCCTGCCTTTTTCTCGATTGAATTATTTATTCACAGTATTAAATGTATAGCTTTATTAATTCATATAAGTTATACTGAACAAATTAAATGTTCATTTAAGTTGAGGTTTCTGGAAGTGAGTCGGATGTCATTCGTAGCATGCAGTGGCTCCACCAAGAGGAAGGAAGGGACGGTGGCTAAGAAGGCTGCTGGTCTGTCACAGGGGTTGTTTGGATCCCAACACTGGGGAGAGAGGTAAGCTCAGAGCCATACTCTGTATTGTGATCTAGAATTCAGTGAAAAGAAATGTGTTTTAATATTTTACTCCAAATAGGAATATTTATTTATTTTGTTGGAATCCCATATATCAAAAATGGCTTTGAAATAGAACCATGATTAAATGTATTTGTAAAATAATTAGATCATATGCTCATGGACACATTGGCAGAGCTGAAATTTAAACTCATAGTCCAAGTAAATTCATATTTGTAACAAAGCATAAGGTAATGCAATCTACCAAAACACAAAAAGAATTTTTCCCCTATCTCCGAATTCCAGGTGGTTCATAGTGAAAGACAGTTATATAACGTACCTAAGGAAAGATGGTAGTGTTGGAGGGGTGATGCTAATGGACCGTGGGTTTCACATCACGCGAGAGGACAACAGCTCTCTTGCCCTGCATGGCCTTAAGATTATCAATCTCTCCAGGTCAGTGAAATAGTTTGAAATAAAATTTTCTCGTCAGTCTCTCCAGTTTGGTGAAATAGTTTAAAAAAAAATTTGAATGAGTTTACTGAAATTTTATCAACAGCATGTATATTTATGTGTCCCCTTTGGAAATATAAAATGCCAGCCATTTTCAGGATGGTTGCTAAAATGTACACACTGATGGTTGACTTTGAGATTTCGTGGAGGAAAGCAAGATTGGTAATTTGATAAAATCAAAACATTTTTGTTATTATATTGCCAGGAATCTCAAATTTGAGACATAGAAAATATGCGTATTAATTTTATTTTTTTCATTTTCAGACAGATGTTGGTAAACTGTGGCACTGGACGCCAGGCTGACCAGTGGGAGGCCAGCATTACTGCTGCTGCTGAGAGCACAGGCAGAGAATTTATCATGATGAATAGATTTGACTCTTTTGCTCCAGTGAGAGAGGGGTATGCACAATGGTGAGTAAAGCATAACAGCTAAGCTTGAATGGTTTTGAAAGCTTGTGTATTTGTACACACATTCAAACTCCTTTATAAATAACACAGTCATGTTATTTGAAGTAGAGGTCTATCAGAATCATAAAACATTTGTTTGTACTTTTTGGTATAAATAAATCTTGCCAAATATCCTAAGACAAAGTCAAGACTTTTATTGAACAAATACCTAATTTACAACATCTGATATACAATGTTTACATACAACCTATATTGTCCCCCAGGCTGGTAGATGGCGCTGCCTACATGAGATGTGTGTCCACAGCATTAGACCTGGCCAAGGAGGAGATCTTCATCTGCAGCTGGTGGTAAGCAGCTTTGAAACATGTTAGAATTTTTAAAAATTACTTTTGAATCTAACCAAATTAGAGAAAAAATAAGGTTCATTTTTCAACACAAAACAGTAGTTCTACTTCATAATATTGTCAGGTTTGCTAAAATGTTATAAAGTCAGATTTTATTATTATTATTTTTTTTTAAGGAAATACACACTGTTATTTTCTCCACATGCTCTACTGCAGGTTGAGCCCTGAAGTGTTTCTAAGACGTCCAATAATGACCCTGGATGACCCACACAGACTGGACCATGTGCTCCTCAGGAAAGCTGTAAGTGAACACATAACTTTTTAATTACAGGAGGAACTTAATATATTTGAACAAAGTGAATGTTTGGTTTCCCCACAAAATAATGTTTTAGTTGTAAGCTAGTTCACTGTATCGTTTCACCTTCAAGTTAACTGTTCATGGTAGTCCTATGCTTTCACTTTAACAGTTCATAGTATTCATGCTTGCACTATTACAGTTCATTGTGTTCAATATTTTTACCTTACAATTTATGGTCCTAAAATTTTATGCTTTGCAGTGTTTTTTACTTCATGGTATTTATGTTTTAACATTGAATAGTCCATGGTGCTCACAGTTTCTCTTTCATGTTCAGGAAGAAGGAGTGAGGGTGTACATTCTGCTATACAAGGAAGATGAACAGTTCTGCTCTGGTATCAACAGCTTTTATGTCAAACAGAGTTTACTCCGGACACAAACAGACAATATAAAGGTAGATCGCTGCTATCTGAAGTTATCATCAGAATACATGATTTGAAGAGATGGGATGACATTTGTTCTATATTTTGATTGCAAATGTGACAGTTGTGCTATTAAAAGCAGTGTTGTTCAGATAGAGAGAAAATGAGATCTCTAGAAATCTTGGGAGCATTCCTGAGAGTGGTAAAAATTAAAGTGAAAGAAGCCAACCAGCTCATTCCCTTCTTCTTTTTAAAATTAGACTACATTGAATTTCATGCAGTCAACTATAATCGCTTGAATTTAGTCTGTTCCTTTTGTGTGTTTACCCTTTTTTTTTGGTATATTGAATTATTCTGAATACACTCAAGTTCACTGAAAGTCAGTTATATTCATTTTATCTTTTGAAGTCATGTTACTGCACTATATCGTATCTATAAATATAAAAAGCCACATTGATGTCATCCAGATCCTGAGAGTGAGTGACCAGGACAGTTATCTGTGGACCCACCATGAAAAGTTGGTGGTAGTTGACCAGAGGATAGCCTTCCTGGGAGGGATGGACCTCTGCTTTGGACGCTGGGATGACAAGTTGCACAGGTTAATGCCTACACTAAATTTGATGACTATAACAGTATTATGTGTTATTTATTTCAAGTTATATCAGTTTGATTTTTAAAGGTGAATGTTGGACAATAATAATGATTTAAATATTGTCAATTAACAACATCTGCCACACATACAGTTGTTTCTTTATGATCACAATATTATCTCCATTTGTTAGGTTATACCATGGTATATGTCACACCACTCCATACCATGTAATTTTATATAATGATATTATAACCCATATTATATAATATTGAATATATTTATATTTCCTTAGGCTGACAGACCCTGGTAGCACAGTTCTGGCCAGAGCACTAAACTCCCCCTCCAGGTTTATGGCAGACAGTGGAGCCATGGACCTCATAGAGGTACTGAAGAACAAAGAGAATGAAGGGGACAAGAAAATGGAGGGAGAGGGGACACAGGGTGACAAAGTGGATGTACAAATGGAACATGTAGGTCTATGTGTTCTCTCTTTTTAAGTTGATATATATATCTTAGGGATTTGTATTTTTAGTGATGAAATGCAAGTTAGGTTCATGTGTAGTTTTCTTGCTTTCATGAATTTTTAATTGGAATTTGCTGTAACAATTTGTCTTAATTTCCAGTGATCAAATGCAGGATTGTTTCATGCAGTTTTCTGTCTTAAGGTTAATAATTTTAGTTGATATTAATCATAGTAATTTGTATTTACAGTGATGGAATAGAAAATTGGTTCCTAAGCATTTTTCTTGCTTTTATGAATTGATTATAGTCATGATTTTGTGTTTTTCTTTATTAGACTGGAGTTGAAGAGGAAGAACAGGAAAGGCATGGAGATGTCGACTCCTCAGATTCTGGCAATGCTTCCCCAGATTCTAATAAAAGGAGTGATAATGAAGCCAGCCAACAAAGTTACAGCAGAAATGAAAATGAGCAAGAAAATGGAAGTAGCTCAAGTCAGCAAAATGACAGTGAGGTTAATGATGATAAAGATTCAGAAGAAACCCCAAATAGTTCACAAACAAACAACAGAAATGACCAAGAACCCTCAAACGATGCAGGAAACGGAGTATCCAAACAATCAGATGAGAAAAATAAAAAATGTAAGTTAAGTAAAGACAAAACAGATGCAGCTAAACAAACTGAAAATGGTAAACCCAAGAAGTCAGCCAGCAGCAAACATAGTTGTACGAACTCAACCGCTGAAAGTGATCACCAACAGCTCCCTCTGGTGGAGGAGTTGCCAAACATGAAGTTGACGATGCTGGGGCTGTCAGCAGATGGAATCTTACATAACAAGGCAGCTAAACAGAACACAGTAAGTTTATCTTTACATATGGATATGTATCAAAGATGATGCCATTCCTCAGATGAAGAAAATACAAGTGAAAAGCTTTTCTTGCTGTGCACTTAAGATACATCAGGAGACCACTTGTGGTTGAAGTATTGTTTATTTTATTATTAATTAAAATATAGGGTTTAGGGACACAACTTTGAAGGGGACATCACTGAGATTTTTTATCAACTGAGATTTTTTTATCAACCTTATAGCAATTGTAATTTCTATTTATTAATTAAAATTGATTCAATTAAGATATAAATGGCATTGACCTGTTTTTAAGCAGATTTTATGATACATGTAAGTTGTCTAAAAAGTGGTTGTCAGGTGTCAAGACTCAGGTACTATTTTAGTGCTAATGCCATAGGGCTTTTTTCATGGAGCCATTCCAGGGTCAAATATATTTACCCCTCTTATTCTAGGACAGTAAAGTATCAGATAAGAACAAGCTTCTGTACCAGGATCTGAAGGATGAAGACAGTGAGCTGAGAGAGTCTGTCTCACAGGGAAAGAGATACAGCGCAGGCTACGATACCAATTGTCCCAGCTACGAGATTACAGGGAAATGCTGGGTGGGGAAAGATTATGCCAATTTTGTCATTAAAGACTGGACAGAATTAGAGCAACCATTCATAGGTAAGCTGTCTCAGTGTTAGCTGTGTTTTAAATTGTTCTGGCATTGCATGAGATTTGAAGATAATTGAGGAGAAATAGACTTCTTAATTCTGACAAATAATTATAGTGTTTTTCATATGCACTTCTCTACATTTTTACAGGTTGTAGGAGGTGATAAGGAACTGAAAATTGTAAAGTGCAGGCTGCATATTACAAACCCCAGTAACTTGGGACACAATAATTGAATAATCAATCAACAGTAAGGTCAACAATACAGACATGTGAAAGAATATGGTAAGGTTGTTGTAAAACAATAAATCAATTAAAATATGTCTCAGTCACAATTGCGTATGTTCCAGACACAGTAGACCGCCTGACAGTCCCCCGCATCCCATGGCATGATGTTGGCTGTGTGGTGTATGGGAAAGCAGCAAGAGACACAGCCAGGCATTTTATACAGAGGTGGAATCATGCAAAGGTGGGGGTGCTAAGACCACTTTTTACTTTCTTTGGTTTTGAATGTAATCATTTTCTTAAACTGGAGTTGAATCTTTTAATTCTTTGTAAGCTGTATATGTTTTCCTTCAGTTATAATAAAGTGCACATTTTGAAGGTGTAATATATTGTCAAGTGCACCAACTAAAGCTTTCTATTTGTTTATATGGTATATTTTATTGACTGTTTATGTTTCAGTATCTCAGATGCAAACAGAACCCTGTCTACCCCTATTTGGTCCCTAAATCATATGACTGGGTGCCCATACCTGAGCAACTAAAAGCTACATCTCTGTCCTGCAAATGTCAGGTAAATATGTTATATTATTATTATTATTATTATTATTATTATTATTATTTATTGTAAAATCACATCAAAAAGCTTTCAGTTTTACACTGAACTTATGCATTAAAAACAATAAAATGCTATAAGTGAAGTTTAAGGCAGTTGTTTTTGATTATTATTTCATATTTATAATTCAAATAACCAGTGGGCTGAAAAGTTAAAGGCACTTAAAATGTAAATGATTCCATGCCCAGCACTGAAACCTCTTATGGAGTTATCCTTCTTTCCAGGTTCTCCGTAGCGCCAGTCGTTGGTCCAGTGGAATGGAGATGACAGAGAGCTCCATACAGAATGCCTACATCCATGCCATCAGGACTGCCAAGCACTATATATACATTGAAGTAAGTCACATCTTTGCAGTGTCTCAGAAGAAGGAAGCACTTTGCTGATTGTTTGGGGGTAACAGAGGAAGTGACCTGAGACCTCATTGTCCATAAGAACATACTGAAAATTATTGCAAAAAAGTTCAGATAATTGGCTGGCAATCTGGTAGTAAATTTAAGAATTGCTCACAAAAGTATGGTGATTTTGCAGCCATCTTTTAAATAACCCTTTTCTATCTTCACAATTATTCAATCACAACTTATTATACAATATATATGTTATTTTAGTTCTTCTACTTTTTAGAGTCAGTATTTGATCAGTCGCTGTGGTGACAAGTCAGAGGTGTCAAATGGGATATGTGACGCCCTCTATGGGAGGATTATGGAAGCACACAGGTAAGTATATTGCTGAGATTACAGTCTGTGAGACATTTTTCACAAGATGGCTTAAAAGTTAAGTATTGAATTTCACATTTATTGATTCTATCCTGGTAATTCAGTTATATTGGTAAATTTTGTATAAGTGTACTATTGAATCAAAGACAAACATAGAATCTTGTATATGCACATTATACTGATATTAAGTAAACATGTGGTTTATGTAGAAAATACATGAAAGTTCATCCCTTTTTATTCTACTTTTAACTCTGCCGCAAATTTCAGAAATCAAGAGTCATTCCGTGTGTACATCCTGCTCCCCCTGGTGCCAGGATTTGAGGGAGAATACACTGCAGATGTCCCCACTGGCAACCAAATAATGAGCTACTGGCTGTACACCTCTGTGTGCAGGGGAGAGAAGTCTCTCCTGGGGAAACTTCAGCAGGATGGTATGCATAAACCACTTTTTAGTAAAGCCTGTTAATCTAATGACAGAGGAAACAAAATACAGGTCCTCAATTTCACTTGTAACAAATTTGTCAAGTTGTTATTATAATGGTAATGGCAGTGCCTAGTATATTCACAGTAGCGAGTTGCGATACCTTTCCATGTAGTTTCACGTTTATATCACATTTCTCTCAACCTTATGAAAGTTACAAAAAATTTATGGAATAAGTAACTTAAAAAATTAGGATCTGCTTATTAAAAATGACCCTCTAACCCCCCACACGATCCCCCCAAAAAAGTGCATTAATTCATTATATTATTCATTTAGTTGAGGACCCTTCGAAGTATCTCTCTGTATGCAGCCTGAGATCTCACAGTGAGCTTGGAGGAAAGCTGATAACAGAGATCATCTATATCAACAGCAAACTTCTTATAGTGGATGATACGACAGTTATCATTGGCTCAGCTAACATAAATGACAGGAGCATGCTGGGAGATCTGGACAGTGAGGTGTCCATGATATTTGAGGTAAATTGCTGGAGCTGTCATGTACTCTGGTACATTTGGTTATTAGACTTGTCATTTAACTAAACATTTGTAACCTTCCTCCTCCTCCCTTTCTCTTTCTTCCAACTCTCTCCCTCTCTCTCTCCTCAAAAAAGAAAGAATGATTGTTTTGGATTTATGCTCACATTCCAATACCCAGAAGTCTTAATCCACTTCTGGAAGTACATTCAGTTAGTCATTAAGTGGATAGCACACCAGTAGCCATGATCATCATAGTAATCATCTCATTGACAGGCATTGCATGTCCAGAAAATGATTCTTAAATTTGTCTCTGTAAATTATTTCTTTTCCCTGTCAGGACACAGAGACTGTGGAGTCTAGAATGGATGGAGAAGTCTTCCAGGCTGGCAAGTTTGCCCAAAGTTTACGCATCAACCTGTTCAGGTGAGAGAGAATATTTGGTATTGAATATGGCATTAAGTGAAATGACATCCAAAATGCGACAGAAAACAAGTCAAGACATTTTCAAAAAGGTGAATTGGGTTTGAATTTAATACCCCAGAGTTGCTATTTAGCTTTACTGATGATGAATTTGTGTATCATTTCATATGGGAATTGGTTCTAAAAATGCGAAGTATAAAACCCAAATATATACTGTGCCTAGAGATGATAGCCCAAATATTTTATGTGTATTTTCTTTCTTTAGGGAGCACCTTGGTTATGTAGAGGATGACAACAGTAAGCTTCTGGATCCTGTGATCGATTCTTTCTACAGAGGAACCTGGATAAAACAGGCATCACTGAATACTGCCACATATGAAAGGGTAAGGACTCTGGGACATTTTGAATTTGAATTGGTCCTTTAGTAGAGGGAGCTCTGACCTCTGCCAGCATTATCAACAAGCTTCTGATGATTTCTAGGCATGGTGGTACCGGAAGTTTGGTTCTAGTAGTCTCTGAAACCCAGGGTGCTGGACAGGTTGCACCCAAAAGCTTTTCTTAAGATTTCTTGTAGCCCCTCACAGGGCATTAGGTGAACACAAATCATTCAGAAATTTAAAGAGTTTGCGTTATGATACATTTTAAGCTATGAATACTACACATATATAATGGCTTCATTGGAAGTTAAGAACATACTAGTATATTGTGCCTGTCATTGCCAGTTATTTTATTTTTCTTTTTATTTATTATTCTGTATTATTTTACTAGTATTTTTTGAAACTGTGTGTTATTACATATCTCTTCCTCTAGGTATTCAAATGCCTCCCCAGTGACCAGGTCCAGAGTTACGCTGAACTAGAGCAATACTGTGCCAAGAATCCCATGAGTGAAAGCAGTCCCAGTCTAGCCAGGGGGCTGCTCAAGAAGGTCAAAGGTCACCTGGTCTGCTGGCCAATGGGCTTCCTACAGGAAGAGATGCTGCTGCCATCTTTAGATTCAAAAGAAGCTGCATTGCCTTCTGTCATGTGGACTTAGTACTATATCTTGTTCAGGGGCGGATTTAGGCCGTCTTCTGGGTCTTCCGGAAGACGGTCAGATTTTTAAGTTTACATTGAGGGGTATCTAATTTTTTCTGTCAGAAGACGGTCAAAAATGGTGGATGGATCAACAAAGATAATTTGGAAGACTGTCAGAAAATATCTCTGGATCCGCCCCTGTTGTTATCTCTGTTTTGATTCATTATTTGAAATTATAAAACTTGACAGTGTATATGTAGAAAGTTCAAGTTTTAAATATTCCTTTTTTATTGTTTTCTTTTTTATATTACAGTTATAGGTCACCTACAGGTTTTAATTATGGTTCCAAAATCACCTTAAGTTATCATTATTTAAACAGTCAATAAGGTAATGAAGAAAAGTTAATTTTATATTTATAAACCGATACAATAACAAGTTGCAAATATTAATTTTGCTTTTTATCTTTTTAGTCAAACAGAATCCAGTCATGAGCCTAGGTTAAAAAAAAAAACTCTGAGCCAGATTTTATTGCAGATCTTCACAAATCTCAGGAACCATCAGAATTGAATTAAAAACGCGGAATTGCGCTTTTCCATGGAAAAAGCTTGTAAAGAAATAACTTAATAATACATATAATTATCATTAAAATGCAAACATTTAATGTAACCTTAGCTATTTTTTTGTAATATTTATGAACAGTTGTAATGTAACTATTTTAAACGTAAAAAAAACTGATTTAAAACATAAATGCCTGTATTATTTTCAACATTTTATTCACTTTCATACAAATTAGCAAATAATTCATGTATCATATGTATATTATATAATGTATATCCACCTTGGCACCGATGCAATACTTCATGCTGATAGCAACAGTAACAGTACAATGACATGTTATACTGCCTCAGTATTATGATAGCTACACAATGATTAACAACACAATGATTGGGTTAAAAACTTCTAACAGACATGGTTAGCAACATACAAGAGAGGCGCATTGCAAACATTTAGCTTTTTTTTTTTAACTGTGTGTGTTTGTATGTGTGATGTTTCCATACCTTATTATTATTATTAAAAATCTTTTGGTAGAAACTGTTTCCTATGTGCTGTTTTATACAAAATCTAACCATGTCTGTCTCAATGCAATTTTACAAAAATACTTTGTTTACAATATTTCATAAAGAATTGAAATCGCTACTGCTAAGTCATGTAGACATAATAAATACAATCTTTTAATGTACAGTAATGTTATAATATGATTAATATGTTACTGATTCAACACAGTTGGTTATAAGTATGTTACATAAAAAAAATTAAAAAGTTTGTTCTTTTATCATTGTAAAGAAACTTCATGACTATAAAATAATAAGGTTATGCATTAAAAAAATAAGTAAATGAATAACAACTTCCATAAGAAACATTCTACAACTTTCAAGGAGTTGTGTCATCTACTACACTTTAAAGCCTTGAGCTGGACAAATATGCTTCTTAAAAATTCTAATATTATTTAACGGGGCAACAATCATCCCCTGTGTCCTTATGATCAATGCAAAATATTCCGAATACAAGAACCCCCATCCTCTGCAGTCACTTTTCTTATACAACATTTTACACAATGGCTCCCAGTGAATACTTGAGCATAGGAAGCATTCATAACAAAGGCAACAGAGCCAACAATTACATTGAAGTAGTCCTTAATCTCATATATCATTTCCAGAAATCCACTCTAATTCTTGTTATATCTAAAATGATACACTTCACATTAAATGGGGGTTACCCATAACTGCACCAGACTGGGGTAGAACTTGGGATCACCACACACCATAAATATAGTTATACTTTCCTGCACACTCAACACTAGTTATACAGGCATGTTTTATAATGAAAATTTTGATATCCAATTGACATTGATTCTATACAAACAGTTTTATTTTTAAAACTTTGTATAGAATCTGTGCACTTAAAAAGTCTACCCATTGCCAATGGTGAGGAGAACCATACTAGGTAAACCACTACGACAGTGCATGCTGTTCTTCATTAGTGACAGTCTGGTCATTATGCTTGGTACCAAAATACACAAAATATTTTCAACAACTGAGATGTTGTATAACTGTTGCCTTCCTACACTGCCTCCCATAAGTTATAACAATTTTGATTCTACTGAACAGCTTTGGCGCTAGCACAATATGATTGTCTTGGCTGTTGAACATTACTGAACAAGGACTAGCACTGCGATTAAATTGCTTAATTAAGAAGTAAATGCACCGATAATCCATGTATAAAACTTAAAATCAGTCCTCGGAGAGCTTCTTTGGTTAAAGTAGTAAAATGTTCCCTTGCAGATTAATAAAGTGGGTCTGTAAGTAAATTTTTCGATGTTTTGTAAGTTATGCAATATATCTTTGGTCTTGAACTACTTCACTTGTCTTTGTTTTTTTTTTAACAGGACTGTTTAAGACCCCACCCCATCCCCCCAAAAAATCTTTTACCTAAAGCCAACTTAAAAAAACTTACCCTCCTTTAATAGGGTTTGTTTTACGGATATTTCAAACACACAGTCAAGTTATTGAATCAAATGTATTGTAATGCCTGATATGAGTGGTCAGTGGCTTCTAGCAAGCAGCTCTGTGTTGTTAAACATCTAATAAGACCCTTTCCAGTTAAGAATAGTCCTGATGTAAACACAGCCTTAGTGAGCAATTCATGTAAGCTTTCAGTGGTGTGTGGTTGGTAGTGTGTTAATTTTAATGCTGTTTCTGTTGGTTGTGTTTTGTATCACTGCTAAGATAACTAAATTTATAGTGTTTAATTATTTACATGACTGTTGTAAATAGGTGTGTTTTAATGGGAAGGATTTCTCTCGAATGCTGTTCTGTACATAAATTCACTGCTTAAACCAAACTTATGGCAAGGATATATGCATTCTGTGCTAAGCCTTATCCTACTGCAAGGAAGTTTAGTACTGCTCCTGATACTTCCAAAGGGATATAAATATTAAGCACTGCACCTAATCCTACTGCAAGGATATATAAATTTAGCACTGTACCTAATCCTACAGCAAGGATATAAATTGAGCTTCACTTAATGCTACCGCAAGGATATAAACATTTAAAGAATTTTTTCTGATCTTACAGCATGCAGTACATGTATTGATCACTGCACCCAATCTTACAGCAAGGATATATGGCAAGATATATACCAACTCAATAAATGTTCCTACAGCCAATTAAAAGCTAATGCTGCTATAATGAATACTCTCCATCCATGTCTATAAGCATATATACTATATTTGCATTGATCTGCATTGCTAGGATCTGTCCCTTAAATATTCAACAATAAAACCTGAGGATATTTTACAAGAGAAATACAAGTCACGATCACATCAACATTTGAATTCCGTCATATATTAGTGCCTCTACTACTACAATCAACTATACAGACTGCTTCCTCTCCATACATCTTCCACTTGTTGGATTGTTTTACATGGCAATGGCTTAAATTTTGCCTCAAAAACCAAATGCTTTATTTTAAGCTTGATTTTAATAACAACAAGATTAGTTGATAAAAAATCCAGGTTTTCTTTATCATTAAAAAACACTGCCTTGCTTTTTTGTATTTAAATGACACATAAGCAATAAAATGCATTCAACAATCATATTTTTCAAGTGCTAGCCTTATGTAAAATATTTCTTTTGGGCCCTAGTTAACCATTCACCATTCTAACATTCTTCCTGCCACTCAGCTTTGTTCATATACCACCTAACTGTACAGAGATAGAAAACTTGAATGAAAAGCATCAGTTATTACAATAAAATCAACATTAAAAGGGTTTGTATCAATTTGTTCATTTGGTATAAAAACACTATGTACAAGTGAAGCCTCTGGTATTCACATAAATCAAATAAAAACGTGTATGTTACACAACATTAGCTGTTGCTATTGACTATTACACAACTTGGACCAGAATTTTTAACTTGTTCAGTCAATTTTCATTTGATCACATCTTTTCCATCACAAAGACAACTTTTTCATGCAACTGGCCAGGTGTGTGATTAAGGACTAGAGTCCACTCTACATAAAAACTGTGGACTTCCAAAGGTAGCTGATACAAGAGAGACCCAACATGAACTCTTGATTCTGCCTCTCTCAGCGTGCTTCACAACAGCAGCATGTGAGTCAATTCTAATGCTGATTGTGTTGGCTGTATTTTATGTCCTTGCTGGTCCCGGACGGTTACCTTGTACAGGGTTATCCTGCACTGGACCACAGAGGGCAAAGAAGCTTGGTCCACTGATAGCTGATACAAAGTGACAATGTACCTTGGCCCTCCTGACATGTATAAAAGCTGGTGCTGCAATTCAGGTTGCTCATTGGCATTTAGAGTTTGCACTGGCATAACCAAGCAAAATACTGTCTCATTTGAACACTCAAATGCAAGCTAATATAGCTCAGCCTTAAAAGCAATACATGAGGTTTCTTTAAGTCAAAGGCCCATGCTTCACCAAAGCCTTTCAACCTTCCAGGTTAGCATACGCCTTTATGATGTCTTTTCTTTGTCCCCATACCAATTATGTACTGTTCCCACCATGCCTAAGCCTTCACTCTTCCTTTCCCACTGTAGGAGTAGACACACTTGTCTGACTGGTAGACCAGGATCTTGTCTTAACACGGCGCAGTGCTGTCCACAAACGGTTGACAATTTCCTTGCGTATGGTGGCAGTGAACTTGGTGAAGAGACAGAGAGCTGTGCAGGAGACAAACACCAGGTTGTAGGTGAGGATTAGGTAGAAACTTCCCAGCCACTCCAGGCGCCCAAACTCTCCGAGAAGATCAAAGTTTGTTATACCTGGAATGCGTTGTAAAAACTTAGTTGTTTTTTAAAGTCCCTGAACAAATTCCAAATGAATAAATGGTCTAAAAAATTGTGATATAAGGATTAGAATTCTGTATAAATCCATCTTCCCAACCTAAAAGAATAGGTCTTCTGTACCAGTACATGTGGTAGCATGGTGCCACTTGTGTTCTAAATTGCAAGATTTAATTGCTTACCTGGTATCCAGGATAGCACAAAACTACATTGTATTTATCCAGTATCCATGACAGCACAGGGCTACTTATCCAGTATCGATGATAACACAGGTCTACTTACCCAGTATCCAGGGCAGCGAAGGGCTACTTACACAGGACCTTGAATAACAGGGCAACTTCTCTAGTATCCTAGCAGCAAAGAGCAACTTACAAACTGTCCTGAATAACAGGGCTACTTATATTATCCAGTATCCTGGAAAGCACATATTAGTAACTTACCCAGTATCCGGGATAGCACAGGAAGAGCTGAGCTGAGCACCAGTATGACTACACAGTTGCCGATGATCTGGGTAAGTGTGGTGTCAGAAGGCTTGGGTTGCAGGCGGCGGAAGAATCGTAGGCTGTAGAATCCAACCACTGAGGCTAACATGAAATATCTGAGGAAGGTGTTGAGGACAATGGACCTGGTCTTGACATTTACACTACAACACATGGGATAAATAAATTGTGGTCTTAGAAAGTTTCAATTGTATACACTTCATGATGAGCAGACTGTGGAATTAAGTTTCCATTTTTTCCCCACATGACTTGGTGCTTGAATGTTATCTGGCATTATGCTAAGTTCTCTATTATATCAAGGATACAAAATGAGAGCTATCTCCAGCAGAGCACCAACTTGTCCCAGGGCAGACAGTGAAGACAAACCAAGGACTATATCCTGAAAAAGAAAACAGTATGTTTAGGTTTTAGGTTTTGGGTTTACTAAAACAGTCATTCAGCACAACATACACACACTTATTTTCTCGACACTTCCGGCACTTTTCAAACGTACCTACTAGTATTGTAATTAATATTCATTTAATGGACTATCAAGATTCCATTAAGGGACCCCGAGTTCATATGCATCAATGTACTAATTTTTCTATCCCCCATCTATTAAATATACACCCATCACCTGAGAACTGTTTTTCACCACTTAAACACTGGAGAGAGACATACCTTGCCTCCCACAGGTAACTTTTTATCCCCAAACACCAACAGCAATGTGTTCAGAGCCACCCATAATACTGATAAGGCCTGAAAGAATAATACAGTTGAATTAACATAAACTACAGACCAGGAATTAATCTATCAATAATGACGCAGAATGATCCTTTTAAGACCATAATTACATACTAGACTGTTTCACTTCTAAAACGGTATATCAAACACCTTTTAGTTTATTTGTACTTAGAAAATTTCATGCAACTCCCTGAATTACAATGGAGAAACATCAAATACTCACAGTTAAGGCTAACAACAGAAGCATCATCAATGGATAGCCCACATTTCTCCTCAAGGATGATATCTGTTGTCTCTTTTCTGAAATAAGACAATTTCTACAGGTCAATTTTCCTACTGGTGATACCCACAACTTTTAATCATTTCATATTGAAGTACCTGCTATAAATGGGAGCTGTTAGCATTTAGGTCATTGTTTTCAATGGTTTCAGGGACACATAAGCACATGTATTCAAACACACTGATTTATATATCTCATTTAAACCAAATGCTGTATGGAGAACTTTTATACACCCCTCTCCTACCGAAAAAAATCCCTTTCCACAAGCATTTCCCCTCTGCTAAAAAAGGGGGGGAAAACATATTTCCTTACCCAACTGTTGCTTCTCCTCCTGAACATCTTCTAATCTTTTTCTCAACTCTGATGTTCCATTGCAGCTTCCATTGTGTCCATTGGCAATGGTTCTGCCATTGCTGGTGGTAGTTACACCTACAGATATATTCATATCAAAATAATGACTCTTGTTCTTGTTAAACAACAAAAGAATCAATATCAACAATAAAAATACAAGCTATACAACTTTGGTCAAAAAAAATAATTGCTATCATGAAAATGGTTTGTTCTGGATCTTTACCTTAAGCCTGAACTTTATCTGACATTTTTAATGTTTGCAAAACACTGTTAACATTAAGCCCTGTGTAAGAACAATGTGACAACTTGACCTTCATCACTCAAAACTGGCATTTTCTATGTTTATTTAATCTCCTTTGATAATTACTGAATTTGTTTTGTATTATTCCTATACACATGTATTACAGTAAAAAGCTGAGCTATTTTCTGGAACCAAACACTAATTTCCAGCTTCCACATACAGAGCAGTACTTGGAGAACTGAATACATAGTTTTTCCTTCCTGATTTTGATTTATTTTGTTTTGATTAATAATATTTTCAGTTAGCTATCAGTAATGCTTACGCTGCTTGATCTTTCTCTTGAGATCATCCTCTTCAAGTTGTGTGGTGTACAGCTCCTCTGCTATATCTCTCAGGAACTGAAACAACAGCCAGGCTTATGAAGTAAATACACTTGAATTACCATCACAGATAAAATAAACATTCATGCTTGGAATATATATATCAATGATTATACTTTCTTTCCAATATTCAAGAGTTATCAGTTTGAAGTTCCCTTACACTAGTGGGCTTGATTTGGTCTTAAAATGCAATTTAAGAACACAAATAGTCTTACATGATCTTAAAACATGAGTAAGACCATTTCTAGTCTGACAGCCAATTAAGTTGTCTCCCCTTACACATTCTCCTATTGTGAGCAGAGGTGTCCTCTATTGTGAGGCGAGGTATCCCCCATCGTGAGGGGAGGAAACTGCTTGATCACTTAAGTAGAAGTTAGAACATTTTAGATCTAAAAGCAGAATCAGTCCATTTTAAGACTACTGCTGTAATGATTAAGATCGTGTAAGATCACTTGTGAACTTAAATTGCACTTTAAGACCAAATCTAGCCCACTAGTGTTATTAAATGTAAGAGGGGGAATACTTAAATACCTACAGAAGTAATAACTTATCTTTTATGATGTGATTTACACACTAGTAAAACAGCATCACTAGTAAGTCCTGTTGACAGAAAATGGAATAAGAAATTTAATTAAAACACAAGGGCACTGGCACCAATTCATCAAGACAGTAAATGTTCTGAACACTGACTGGCCAGAAGAGTCACAATGTTTTCAACATAACCTACCTGTGGTTTAACAACAAGCTGGCCCATCACTGTAAACAGGCGGGCAAACCCCACTGGAGTGCAAACTGAAATGAAAGTAGAACCTTTCATCAAAGCAAACATCATTTTTTGTGTCATGAAGAGTGCCTGCCACATTAGTCCTTATAATGTATCCATAGATTAGGAATCCCCTTTCCCTCAATATAACTCTCACTCTCCTCCACACTTTGTCCAGCCCAATGTAAAACTTAGGGTCTATTCCCACAACTTTAGATCGATCTATCACCGCGGGGAGTCTCACCAGACTACCATCAGATAATCCCCACTACAAGCCGTAAGGGGCAATTAACTTTCGTGTCCGCCCGGCTGACAGCTATTCAGCGCGAACCCCCAGGGAGTTAGGTCGATCCAAAGTAGGTCGATCTATTCTATGGAAATGGAGTGTTAGTCTACCTAGTCTGTGATCCTCCATCTTGTAGGCAGAAGTTCTTCTCACCTTCCATAGTTACGCAATACATTCATATAAGTGTATTTCTATATATATACCTTGTGAAGGGTTACATTCTGTTCAGTAATGTCTCCATATTCTATTACACAATATAACAAATCATGCTGATTTCTGAATGGCCCAAATGAATAACAATATTGTCATTATTCAGTTAAATAAATGTTATAAATATTGGACAAATTTGATTATTACACCTAAAATATAATGGAAAAGGAAAAGACATTTAAGTGGTTAAGTGGCATATTCATGTGCTGAATGAATCATACAGACTATGTGCCAAATGCTGGCATCACAGGATTACACTTATTAATTTGATATCATATACTTACTTAGCAAAGCCAAGCAACCCAGCAGTGAAATACAAGAATACAGGAAAGGAAGGTAGTAGTCCCACAGGTCTGAAATATATAAACATCAACTATTTAAAATATACAGTATTATTGTAACTGGCCAAGAAAATGTATAGTGCTAACAAGCCATTTGAAAGGCTATAAGCGCCTAAAGCAAACTGACAGAAAAATTGCCTGATTTCCAAGTCCATTTGCACCTTACCAAATAAATCTCACCAAGAACAAAAAAAGTCCCATCAAATATGCTTAATTGTACAGAATGGGCCAAACTCTTGAAGAGAAATAACATTCACTATGGAAAATCATATGTTCTTTGCAAGCTGTGTTCAAGGTTACATTGATCAATACTTGTTTATCTGTCTGCATTTTTTTCAGCCAGTGCTCAATATTCCCTCATCTGTTACTTAATCAAAATTGTCTGCGTCAATACATCAGAAACCACGTTCAATTCAAAGTACATCAATTCAGAGGAAACCGAATATTGCATCCATCTGGAAAACAATATAGTAAAATAACCCTTAAAAGCCAAGTACAAGTGTGTTGATGTTCTGAACACTTGCTTAATATTGGCATAGTTAACCCTACATAACCTCATGCCTTCTAAATCATTTAACATTTAACTGTTGAGTGAGTTTTATCTGAAAGCAAACTTTATTTTACTTTTTATATATATTTTTTTAGTTTATAGAAAATATGACTGGATTTTTTAGTGCAGAACTGGCCTGGGTCTTTCCACCTGTTAACTTTTCTGAGAAAGTCCCAGAATGCTTCTCTCTTCCAAGAATGCATTCCTCATTAATCTTCAGTCATATTTGCACTCAACTTAAACAGGCATAGAACAACTGTTTGGTTGCGAACCACCAGAATAAAAAATGGACCGACTTTATGGTCACAAAATGCGTTTACTTTGTGTGTTTTTTGGTCATGGTACCAGTAACTACCCACAAAGGCTTGGCTGTACATTATCACTACTTTAAGGCCATTTTTCACTGTGAATGACCTCTCAGTGTCTTCAACCGCATCCCACCAACAAGATGCCATAGATGACTGTGTTAATGTTCTGAACAGACCTCAAGTCACTCTACAATGAAATATGTCACCTTTTGACCACAAAACTGCGTTTTTTTTTTTACCACAACAACCACTTGATATGTAGAGTTCAATGTGAAAACTCTCTCTTTCTGTGTGTGTGTGTGTGCGTGCGTGTGTGCGTGCGTGTCAATATATCACTCTCTCATCAAACTGATCAGCATAAAAAATTTGGGTGAATAAATATTACCCACAAAGAGAAAATATCTGAAACAGTAGTAATACTTCCAGTGCATATTCAAAATCTAAAAACAAATGCAATTACATGTTTAAAAAATCTTATTTTCAGGAGTTTCATATATCATTTTAAATCAATCTCATTCTTCTAGATTATCTAAAAAATAGCACTGACAGATCTACAATGAAACTGATATTTTCTCTCATTGATTGATTTAGCACCATACTCTAAGTACATTTCCATGAGCAGATGGCAATCCCCCCCCCCCCTCCCAAAACCTAAACTCCAGCTCACAGTGAACTGTACCAATCCCTATATGACAATCCCAAACAGTTGTTACACTGGTATGTGTGGTGTGCCGGTGTGCTATATCTCACCCCATAGTGTCTGTCTGCTTGATTTATCCTCATCCACAACTGCTGTGATAACAAACACCAAGCCAAAAGCCATAACTCCCAGCAAACACAGTACCACTGCAGTCTCATAGACTCTGGCCATTAAACCCTGGAAAGGAATGAAACAAAGGGGATGTTGTTTTTTAAGGTTCCATTTTTCTTCAACTTTCACTTTTTAGATGCATTCCGAATCTGAACACAATATGGAATAAAATATTGTATAGATGGCAAGACTCAAAAGAACTTGGACGCACACTGATTTTCTGAAAGAAAATGTATTTTCAATATGAGCATAAGTTGCTTCTACCATGTTCCTACTACTTCCAAAAAAATAGGACTAGTTACTAAACAAGTTGTTAAACAGGTTTCAGTATTAAACAAGCTTCATTAGGGGAACTTACTTTTTTAGACCCAGCAAACCCTTCAGACTCCAGTAAGAAGTAAGCAAAAGGCATGAGGACAAATATGGCACAGTTAGAAAAGATGAACACAAAGTTCCACAACCCTGAAAAAAAAAGCAAAATAAGTCTCAGTTATCATTTAAATTTCACAGTTAAAAGTTTGTAATAGTTTTAGTGTAAGTACTGATTCATTTCATCATTTTAAATTTAACAGAAATCGGGAGAGAGATGTCAGAGAGATTCTGCCCACATCCCATAGTTGATTGATTCATAGTCCGTGGTTGATCCATTGTCTTGATTGATGATGTTGCAGGATCATTTCTGTGTAAAATATTGTCAGAACAAATTAAAATGTTGTCAGAACAAATTAGTCCTGGAAATTAATCTATAAGTGGTTGTACATGTGACAGTGGTACAATAGGACTTGGACAAGCATTGCAATGCAATATAGATGACACTAGCACTCACCATGAATGAGCGATGAGTTAAGCCACTGGACGTAGTAGCTCCTTGGATACATGAGGAGGATTTCATTACTGATGATAGAGATGGGGAGAAGTAATACTGCAGCCACTGACGTCGCCAGAGTGAATGTACAGCACCACAGCCTGGAATAACAATGACAGAAGCAATGAAAGAGACAGCAATATGACACAAATAGCAATGTCAATTATGCAATTATTGTCAAAAACTATGTTAATGTTACAGTAATATGTTTTCTTTGTGAGATCTAGCTTTATGGTTTAATCTTGTTTTTAACTTTAAAAGTGGTTTCATAAAATATCGTAAAAACTGTTGTGACAAAATTGGCATTAAATTCACACTCACGAGATTCTGTTGACTGTGGCATCTTCATCATCTAGAAATAAAGGGATGAATAGCCATTCATTATATGATAATGAAGTGAACACATAATCAATCACTGAATTACCAAGGAGGACAAGTTGTAATCACCAAGTGTGACAATTTTAGCACAAAGTAATACAGTACAGATAATTGATGTATATAGTTGTGATGACAATCCCATGCCAGTTTATAAAACCGGCCCTAGGTAATTCAGGTCAAATTTTGCATAATTATCAATAAAAATTACATACAATACATATAGCAATATTATTCATCCAGATTCACTTTCAAAGAACATAATTATATATTGACAATTATCAAATTGATACAAACACTACACATTCTGTTACATCGCATCTCCACACAAACAGCCTCTCTCTCTCCCTCTCTCTCTCTCTCTCTCTGATATTATTTAACACTGCTTCTATCTCAGGAACACATACTCTTGCCTTCATTCTAAATAATTATTTACTAATTACTATCAATGCCTCTCACGCAAAAATATATTTATTTATTTATTTATTTATTTATTTATTTATTTATTTCTTCATTCAGTCATTTCTTCACAAATATGCAGGCACACACGCTCATTCCTTTTCAAAATAATCATTTACTACCACCAGTGCTACTATTCATGGACCCAGTTTGATACACTGTACTGTGCTGGCAGTTGCCCATGCCAGCACCATAAATAACTAATCCATGACCCTGAGCTATGAACACCACCATCAAAATATTTATGTGGGAAAACAAAGGAAGTGGTATACAGTTACTGCAAAAAAGTTATACATTTTATTTTTGAAGTAGTACAGTGATTTTATAGCTGGTATTTTAATGATGATATATTATACATGTTGTGGTGGTATGTTCACACTTTTTTTCATTATTCTGAAGTGTTTTGAATTTGAAAGTAAAAAATCAAGAAGGTCACTGGTCCACCAATATGCCATCTAACTGAATGTTCATCTAACCAATGTCATTTACTGTCAGAACTAAGCAGAAAGAAAGAGGAGAGAGGGAGGGGGGGAGAGGATAGAGACTTATGAATAATACATTTACAGAGTTTCACAGAAATGATTTGACATAACCACTAAATATAAAACCAAGACCCCATTCAACTGAGATGTGCAACTTGGCAGAATAATCGCTTAATAAGATACTAGCATAGTACTCAGAACAAGGAATGTTGTCTTGACATAGTGCCCAGGTTTGTTAGGTCAATGAGCTTTTTCACCTGGTAGTTTGCCAGGTGTAGGTGTAGACTATGAAATGCTACTTTGCCCTATGAACAGTTAAGTAAACAATGTAGTATCTGCCTTTACCTTAAAACAAATATGCCCAAAGCCATGTTCTTATCAGGAAAATATGACTGATAGCCATGAAGTCTATTGTGTGTTTTTTATTCAACACTGTATGAAATGCAGAATACAGGCTTCCAAAACCCACAGGTCTCACTGTAACCCTGTACTGCTAGAGATATATAAAAGCCACCAGGCATTCATACTTGAATTTCCTGTCAGTCTCTGCTATACAGGATTGAAAAAATGCATGAACTTGCATTAATCTCTGATAAAGTTTTCATGTTAACAACATTTATGGCATGCTTCTGATAAAAATGCACGATGTTTGAGCAGTTAATGCAAGCAGATTGTTTGACAAGACTGTAAGATCATTATTTTTTTTTTTTATTCTTCCTTGTTCACTAGTTTTTGTTCTAGTATACTCAACTGCAAAAATTCCACCAAATAATAATAAGAAAAGATATATCAGCGAGCCAGAAAAATGCACACAGATGCTAATATTCCATAGCCAATTGCTTTAAAGAGCTGTCAAAATGACTGTCTCTTTAACTTTTCAGCAAAAACATGTCTTTATATATCAGTTCCAACTCATAGTTATGGTTAAAAAGATTCTGTAACTTAAGACAAGCTTAGTGAACCATGCCAGAATTACCTTCAACAATTGCAGACAGCTGACCGCAGGGAATTGGACTATCTTCAAAACTTTTCTCTTCTAGCATGTAGCTCACATTCCATTTGGTAAATTTAACTCTAGTCAAGATGACAATAGTAATCATATGATGTTTCATAGGTATTACTAAAATGTCAACTCCTGCATGAAATTAAGTAGGGAAGTGCCACAAAAACTAGTGTCATACTGGGGGATGTTTTTTTTACACATGAGCTTTAGTATGGAAAAAAATCTGAACAAGTTATACACTTTAAGTTAAGTGTTTTGACCAGATCAATCTGGAGAAGTCCACTTACAGGGTACATGAAACATTGTATCAATTTAAAACAGAAAAGAAAATACCAATGCTTTTGACAAAATGTTTCTTTATTCTAGTGGACTTGAATAGCAGTAGACCCAAATTCAGAACTAAAAGTAACAAGAACATTTTCTGAAAAACCTAATGCATGAAAACATTCACTTGTGTTTGGTCAAGCAAAACCTTTGCAAAATCTGTGCTTCAATTTAGCTAGAAAAGAAGAAAATCATGATGTTGCATTGAGAACAATCTGCCTCTTACTTTATTCATTCCCTTAAAAAAACTATTATGAATCAATCTTTACTTTTCTATAACAAGTAATTACAGAGATGGTTCTCAAAGGGCAATCAGTAACCCTGACCTTATCAAGCCAGTCAGACATCCTACAGATATCTTCAACATGCTATCTGACCATCAACTTCCTCTGAAAGATGCCGAGATAGACCATGCATACTTATAACTGTAAGCCAACAGTTTTTATAATCACTTCCCCGGGCACTTGAGGTACTGCACATCTTAATTATAAATGTCCTAGTGCCAATCTTGAGTCATTATCTAATGAATGTTTCAATATTTATGAATCAGGGTCAAATGGAATGGCACTTCAAACTAACATTTTCCTTGGATTAAAGTGTTAATTAGAATTCTCATAGAAAGGATCAACATCATATCTACTGTAGTTTGATAACTGTAAAATTGGCAATTCTGATGATTGAGGCAAATCATTTCTATTACTATTTTTCCTACTATTATTATTATTATTATTATTATTATTATTATTATTATTATTATTATTATTATAAAACAGTGTGAACTGCTAGACTTCATGTGCAGTGTTTCCAGTCAAGATGTTTGTAAACCTATTTCAGTACAACCCAATATATGTACCATTCGGCTGGCCCCCTATGGTGAGTTAAAAGGTAGATTAAATGGGTAGGTAAGCCTTACAAAGGCTGACCCATCTTCACAGAATAAAAGACTCTGTACCTTGTTGAGGACACCCCATCCTCCTGAGGCTGATTCATCACTCTACCATCCTATGATTCCACTAGTCTACCCCTATCTACATCAAGCAGTCACCTCCCAGGTAGAACATACAGGTAGATGACATGTGAGTCACTCAGACCTCAAATCACTTCCCATTAAAATACTGATCTTTTTCTCTTTTTTACACTTTTTTTATTTGTAACCTCATTTCAAATCAAATAACAGAGCTTGTCAAATAGACAATATGCTTGATTTCTGCTCTACCACATGCTCTGACAGCTTTGGCCTTTTCTTTCTTGTTTTTTTATCTCCACATACAAGTTCATACCAAGTTCATTGATCATCAAAATTACTTCAATACCCCAGAAGAGCCATCTCTAACTCTTTCTGGGACAATATTATTTTAAGTCAAAAAGCAGGATTGTGACAGAATATTGAAGGGTGTCTTGACAATATGAGCCAAAATGACACATCATAATGCTTTGAGTTCATGATTTAAAGCAAGGCTGACTTATATATTAGTGTTTACATTGAAAAAAAAAATGTCTGCATCTGGCTAAAATTTGGAAAGTTTTTCAAAACATATCTTACTACTTGCATGCCATATACCATGTCCAGTGTACCTTTGTATGAGACCTGTTCTGTAAGGACAAATGAAGCAAGGTTATCTGATATTATGTGCTATGGTTAACTGACAGCAGGTTGTAAACATCAACAACATTCACCTGGCCCATAATAGTGACTGAACCAAAGGTTACAGCTGAACAGTGATCAGGGGACCAATATGATATGTTCCACATTGTTTAACTAAGATAACTAGTGGCAGGTAGGTACCGTCAGCTACAGTAAAGACAACTGCAAATAGTTCCCATATCAATTCTTACTTTCTTGCTAAAAATATGCTCTCTATGGACAATTTCTGAACTTTGCACCCTTGATCATTAGTCAATAGATTTTTGGCATACTGCTCTTTATTTTGGTCCAATTTTTTCTTCTCTACTGCCAGCTCAAAGGTCGCCAACCTATCCCTTAATCATACTAAAATGAACTTCACATGAACTGGACACCTCAAAATGCCAAACATTCCAAAATCCCTCCCCCTTCCGAGTACCCAAGTCTTCATTACATAGGTTCTTGCAACACAAATAGCTAAAATAATTCTCTGCTTCCAGTTTGGCTGATATAATTTAAATAATTTTTACACATTTCTTCAGTTTTCATAATTTTGTTTTAATTGAACATAATTAGCCAGTACAAAAGTGTAGTTAAACCCAGCTCAGCTTTGATCCCCTCCTTTATGGATGTTAAAAAAGAGACTTAGTATAGAGGGAGATTTTCGGTGAGCATCTTTTTTTAACAAGGCACTAAATATTGCCAGGACAACATCTGCCATGCGTATTTTCATAATCCACTTTCCTCCATGAACTAGTCCTAAATGCAAGTCTAATGTAATCACCATCAAAAAGTAAATAAAGGAGTTACATCACACATTATAATACCTGAGGTAAACCAGAGGTCAGGACACTGACAACTTATGAATACAGATTGCAATATCTTTGACGTGTATACTATATCCAGATTCAGGGGCTGCTGGTGAGACTTAAAATTACTAAGATCCAGTAGTAGAACAGATGTGGAAAGGTCTGTTAACCAGACCAATTTCTAGTCTTGTGGTAGAAATGCTCTGTATAAGCACACCCAAACAGACTTCATCAATGGTTGTCCAGGTGTAGGCATTAACCAGCAGGCCTCTCTCCATGCAAACAGCTGGTCTTTATTGTATTATATGATCAATTCCTTTGTAATATATTGGATCCCACCAATTGCCACCATATTTCCTTATATCACTGAGTCAATGAAGTTATGTCATTAGCCCTCCAGTAAAGAGATAATATAAGGTTAATCTGGATTTAAGTTATCTGTGAAGATCAAACACTGCTGCTGGGGTCAGAGGCCATGTCCAGTCTTCAGCAAATAACCAGGTTAGGCAATTATCATAGATCAGGTCTTAATCAGATGCTTTTCTCAAGCCCCTGAGTGCATGGAAAGTTTTGCCATAAAATAAGTTCACTGCACAACATATCAAAAGTTTCTCACGCTTTCCAATACAGGAATGTGTCCCTGCAATGTTTTATTTGATAACTTTTTTTCAGCAGCTGAGGCAACATTTCAGATGTGTCTAGTACTCTACACATAAGTATTTGCACTGCAGTTTCTAAATTGACATGACATTTAAAAGTCCTCCTGCAAAAGGTTAATAGAAATGACACCAAAATAATTTATCTCCTTTCTAAGAACAATTATACCAATTCAAACAAAAAAGATAAAACTCTGGAGAAAAAATATTTACAAATTACAGAGTAAAAACATGTACTTTTGATCAGTCTGATATGCTAGCACTGGTCACATGCCCAATGCCAGTAAAATTAAGGCTAGCCAGTATATTAATGTACAGTACATTTTTTCAAAGTTCCTGACCATTTATTGTTTTGGACCCATATGGTTTAACACTATGAAGGCTCAAAGGGTAAGTTGGTTAAGAAGTTTTTGGCAAAGACTGTTTTGGTACATAAAACATAGTTATGCAAGGAAAACTATCATTTTTATATAGCACAGTAAGCAGTACACACAATGCATTACTGAAGTACCTGCCAGAGGTGCAAGGTCCGAAGTCCCCCCATCCCATGCAGAACAAAGTTCTAACATTGTTAGAATAGCAGGAGCCCTTGTTAACCTATATCTAGTTAAGGCAACCCTTTATCTTGTCATAACTTGGTTATCTCAGGTTCATTGAGTACCTTAGCCTATCAATTAAAGAGGTTCCCTCAGTACAGTACTGGATGGTGAACTTTTATCTACATTTACCCAAAAATACCTCAAACAGAACAAAAGAAATATTTCTTCTTTCAGTAAAATGTAAAATGTGAGCAGGTGTCTCTTTTAACTCTTATATAATCAAGCTATGATTATGACACTTGATTTCAAGCAAGTAATTTAAATGTACAATAACTAAAGCAAAATGAGTACAAGCTTCATTTGATACCAATTTGAAAGCAAGTTTTCTCAGGACCTAATACATTTGCAAGTGATGCTCACTTTTGCCAAACAAGCAATACATTCATACTGAAACTCTATAACTTTCATTTCCATAATGCACTACAAATAATTTAAAGGGTTTCATTTTCATGAACTCCCAACACCAGCACACCTGCATAGTTTTATCACTAGCACGCCATATCATAATGCACAGACAGCAAGACCTACCTGTGTCTACATCTTCTCCTTTCCGGCGAAAGGCAACACAGGTTGCATATGAGCACACATACAGAAAGATAAATAGTAATGCTGAGATCTGAAATAAGAGCAAATGGATATTTCAATTGAAAAAAAAATTGAAACTGGATGGTGTGTCCATGGTGACATAACACATGAAACATTGTGATCCTTTACATATTGTATTTCTATTAAGGCAAATTCTACCTGCCATATATTTTTTAACTACTTATCAAAATTTAAGTCTGAATCATTGCTTCAAATGGAAAAACCATTGCTCAGTTCTCACCAGCATTCACTGCATACTGACATCGTCTAGGCACCAAAGCAGCTGTAACAGCCAGTCTGACATTTAACTCACACCAATATTTATGACATTCAGACAATGAATTACAGGCCCCTGGTGTGAAAATCTTAACCTGACTTTTTAACCTTTTGTTAATTACCGGT